GGCAGGCCTGTGGAGTGCATGCTGTGGGTTTGGCCAGACTGCAGGGGACGGAGAAGGGGCCACTCTTGCAGGGAGTGCCCTCTCTTGTGCCTTCCATGACCCCACAGTCAGAGCTGGGTTGACCCCAACATCCCCTCCCAAGTCAGAGCATCCTTCTTTAAGGGAAGGTTCAGATGGACCCACAGGTCCTTGAGGTGGGGGACAGCCAGGCCCTGCCCCCTCCTGCACCCCAGGGTGCTCCCTGACCACCACTTCCCTTCTCGCACAAACCCTTTGGGCCAAGCAGAGGTTGGCTGGTGACCGCTGGCACCATCCCAGCGTCCCCATCGAAATGTCTGAATGTGTGGCTGCTGCTGGCTTTCCAAATTAAGCTGCACAGCCGTTGATCTGAAATGACCCTGGCAGATTGGGTGCCATGCCTCCGCCGAGCTGATAGCACTCGCAGGCACTTGACCCCACCCCACCCCCCCCTTCGGCATGGAGTAGGACCCAGAGACAAGACTTGGCACCCACCTCCCCTGCTTCTCCCAGGAGGCAGGCAGGCCTGGCCTCTGCGTTCGACCCCTGCCTTCCTCTCGGGAGGGATATTTGCCAGGTTCCAAATGACTGTCATTTTCACTGCAGCCTCCCAGGCCCGGGCTTGCAGCTTGCACTCCCTCCACCCTCCCCTCTCTCAGCACTGCCCCTCCCCTCAGTCCCGGGGGATGGGGCGCTCCGCAGCAAGCCATGTGGGGACCTCAGGCAGTGGCAGGATTGCTGCAGCAAGCCCACAGCTGGGGAGTCCATTCCAGCGCAGGGGAGGAGAGAACAGTTTCTCCGCGGGGCTTCTGAGACTGTACACAACCCACTGCACCACCAGGGCACGCCTGAAACACACCCCACCGCCAGTGAGAACCAGACCAAGCCCACTGCTGCTGAGTTGAGCCTGGCTCACAGCCCCACCCCCATAGGGTGGGAGCCTGGACACCTTTCCAGGAGCAGCCTCATCGACCCCTGTGGAGTGGCTGGTGGGTTAGAACCGCCCACCTTGCAGTTAGCAGTGCAGCGCTTCCCTGCCCGACGGTGCAGCAGATCAGGTTGCCCCTGACCACGGGTGTGGACACGTGATGCAGTGTTGAGTGCCAGGGCGTGTGGTCGCATGTGCTTTTGCTATCAATGTCTCTCCCTCATATTAGGCCCCTGGTGGCACAGTGGTTAAGTGCCCGCCTGCTGACCAGAAGGTCAGCTGGTCAAGGCCGCCAGCCGCTCCTTAGTGGTCTGCGTCTGTAAAGGTTTACAGCCCCAGAAACCCGATGGGGCAGCTCTCCTGCCCTCCTCCCACGGCCGCTGAGTCAGAAAGACACTGGACATTTTCTGATCCCCCAAAGGTGCCCTCCAGCTCTCCCCGCACAGCAGCATCTGCCTCTGCTCTCTGCTTCCGGGAGCCCCCTTCAGAGAGCCTCCCTCGCCCACCAGGCAGCCCTGCCCAGGAGGTGGGAGAACCCTGGGCCAGCCAGGATGGCAGATGGCAGCGTTTCCAAACTCTTAGGACGTGTTTCCTACATTCTGGGTGACAATTTCTTCTCTTGGCGGTCTCTCTGGTCGTGTTTGGATTCTGTAAGGCAAAACTGGGCTTCGCTGAGCGTGTTTAACCACCTATTGAAGTTGCTAGAGGGGGCGGCCTCCCAGCAGGCAGGATGTGTGGGCAGTTGTCTTCCTAATGGGCTCTGCGGGGGCCTGGAATGCTCACTGAGATTCCCCCCACCGAATCACAACCTGGGGGAGTGGTAGGAACTCCAGAGTTCTCTCGTCCCCTTTCTGAGAGGCACAGAGGGGCCTCCAAGGTGATGGAATAGGAAGTAGCTGAGCCCCCGTGTCCACTTCTGGCCAACATCTGCTGACCAGGCGGGCGGGCAGGGTGAGGGTAGAAGATTCATGTGCCGGTTCTTCACAGCAGGTGGGACGGGGCAGTGCTTGTCACAGGAAGGGACCCCTTGACCACACTGTCCTTCAGGATCCCTGGGTGGCACCAACCGGAGAGCAGGCGACGATTAAAACCCAAAGTTTGGCGGCTCAAATCCACTCAGAGGCACCTCCCAAGAGAGGCCTCCTGGAAGCCCACAGCCATTGGAAACCCCGTGGGGTCGCCACCAATCAGGCACCTGTAGGGCAGCTGACTGGCGGGTTGTGCGAAGCAGCAGAGACCTGGCCTCCAGGTGGACTTGGAGGCCGCCCTTGCCCTCTTGCAGCTGCGCAGTGGCTGTGAGAGCCGTGCGCTGCGGCTCGAGTTCATTAAAGTAGCAGACAAAAGAAAGGGACGTGGGGGGCCCTCCAGCCTGGCTGCATACCAGGATCACTTGAAGAGCAGGCTGCACCCCGAATGACCGGAGGTGGGACCCAGACCTGAGTGGTGATCCCAACATGTGTCAACTCCAGAGCAGGGCGCCTACCTGCCACACTCCGGCACAGCCCACTGGGTGGTTTCTGTGCCTGGCCCAGCTCCTGGGCGCGTCTGGTTTGCATTCCCTAGGCTGGAGGATTTGGGGACTGGAGGGGCCGCCAGGCCTGTGGGCACATTTCTGTTCCAGTTCACGTGGAGCAAGGCTTCCTGCCCTGGCTCTGCTGCTGCAGCAGGGGCACCTGAGTCCCTTAGCGGGTGCGCCTTACGAGTCCCCTGTGTGGCTGGGTCCTAAAGGGCACACGTGACTCGGTGCCTGCCTCAGCAGAGGTTATTACCCGGCAAGAGAAATAGGATGTGTTCATGCAAATGACTTTGGGGCCTCCGTAAGCTACCAAAGCTACCAACACTAGGCGTAGGAGCATCCACATCTCCAACAAAAAGAACCCCAACACCGCTGACTCCTAGCCAGCCCAGGATGGCACAGCTCCAGAAAGTCCCCAAGGCAGGCTGCCTATTCTTCTGGAATGGGATGGGGGCACGGTGACAGTTTTCCCTGTGCATGCCGACCCCGGAAGCTGGGACTTTTTGGTAATGGGAGAACTTGGGCTTCTTACTCTCAGGAACAGAGGCCAATGGACTTGGGCAACTGACCTAATCTTGCAGTTGAGAGGAATTGCTTGTGGCTCAGAGAAGTGACGTGGCCATGCCCGATGCTGAGGTGGTGAGCTTCTAGGGCCAGGCCGCGCGACCGCCGCCATCAGAGCAGGATAGGTGTGTGTCCTGACTCTGAGCCATTTGTATCAGCTTAGCAGACACCCCAAACTGGACAGTATGGCGCTGGATGTTCTGAGGGATAGCGGATCACTCTTGTCAAGGATTCAGTTGTCACAGCTATCTGACCATGTGGCCCATCATGGAGAAAGCAGGCCACCCATCCACGGGAGAGCCCTGTCCTGAAGGCCAGAGGCTGGAGGCCCATGGACCTGCGCTAAAGGACAGCTAGCAGGCCTTTAAGCGTGCGCTCCCCCTGAGCATTCGTCTGAACACTTTGTATACGTTCAGCCAGCATGTGCACGCCGCTCCTTTGCAGATGTGGACACCGAGGCACAGAGAGGGCAGGCAGTTTTCTCAGAGCCACACAGCCGGTAGGTAAGTGACCGAGGCAGGACTCGAACCCAGACTAGCTCCAGCGTCTTATGTTTTGGGCTATTGAGTCTGGTGGCTCCCCTCACCCACATCCCCATGAGCAGATGATCATCTCCCACTCCAGGCAGTGGGTGTCAAAGTCGCTGCAGGTGCTCATGGACGTGGGCCTTAGGGCCTTAGTCCCAGCGAGAACTCTGTCCTCAGACCTCCAGGCAGGCAGGCACCTTCTCGCCTTGACCACCCAGGTCCCCTCTCCCAGGTCCCCAGGGGTGTCTCCATAGGGATCCCCAGCCTCCTCCAGATCTGGGGTAAATGCTCACACAACACTGGAAGGCTTCTCCTCCTTACCTGGCCCAGCCCTGAGAGGAGTGGTTTCTACCAGGGTTCAAGTGGCAGCCTGCTAACCTCAGGGTCTTCTGGCCCCTGCCAACCTCCAGTTTGGGCAGCCCCACCTGCACCCCATTATACCACTGCACTCCTTGCCTGGGTCTGTGCCTGCCCCTCTCATAAGCCAGCTGCGGACCACAAGGAGAGCACACTTGGGGTAGCCAGGGGGCAGGCAGCCAGGAGGCCGGGGCAGGAATCTCTGGGTCAGGAGTCAGGGTGGGCAGTACTGTCCCCTTCCCTCTGATTGGACAAGGACTCAAGGAGGAAGCTGGCGGGGGTGGCAGGGGGATTGGGGCTATGGTCCAGGTATCTCGGGCAGAGCCCCGATGCAGTATGGGGGTGGCCCCTGGTGCCTAGATCTGTTGTCAGGGGCAGTTGGGTGGCTCGCGGCCCGCTGGCCCCCGCTGCTTATACCCATCCTTCTGGCTCACCCTCCCCTGTGATGGTCCAGATGAAATCACAGCCCTGGGCAGCATCTCCAGCAGAAGCCTTGGTCTGAGATTAAGGAGAGTGGATTTCTTTTCCGGGAAAAGTTTTGTTGTTACTGTTGTTCCCTTTCTCTGAGATTCTCTTCTCAAACAGCGCTCCACTCCAGGAAAATGGATCTTTGGTTAAGGAGCCATTTTATTGCCTCAAGTCCCCTCCCCGGTTCCGTCACCTCCTCCCCCATTGCCACCACCTTTCCATGCTTCCAAGTAAAGTGTGATTTAAACACCTGGTACGAGAATAAGACGAGCTTGCGTCCTCCACCTGCCTTGCGCCCCTCCCTCCTCCCTCGCATCGCTGCTAGCTTTGCACCCGGCGGGGGGGAGACCGGGCGTGCCCAGGCAGTGAGCAATAACGAGGCTCCTTCCTTATTTCCTCAGCCGTTTCCTCCAGCACCCCAGCTCCAGGGCCCAGGACCTGCCTGGAAGACGTGGGCCAGGACTTGGTGTTGGGCCCCTCCCTTTGATCTCCCTCAGGACCCGCGGCTGCCCCCTGGGGAAAGGGAGTGGCTACCTGGGCTCGGGGGAGATAAGGTCCCATGGTCAGGGACAAGCTGGACATTGATTTCACCTGGATCTTTTTTTCCCCTCCTCTTCAACAGCCCTATTGCCATATTTAAATGCAAGTATGTCTCTTTTCATTGGCATTTTTAAGTAGCTTAGCCTGACCTTTTTAGAGTAGCATGTCCCCTTTGAAATCCTTTCCCCCAGTAGTCGGAGTAGCTAGGGCATTAGTGGTCTTAGAGTCCAGTGGGGCTTCTAGTCTGCTCTGTTTGGGGCTCGGGAATCTCTCGCTCTGTCTCCCACTGCTCTTGCCCTTCCTGCCTCCTGTCTTCCCCGTCTTGTCCTGTAGAAGTTCCTCTTCTGAAAGGCTTCGTGGCTCAAGGTAGGCAGCTGTCGGGGGCTGTTTCTTGTGTTGGCAGCTGGCCCTGGCACAGCAGTCACTGGAAACAGGTCTTGAGGTCAGGCCTCTGAAAATCTACCTGGAGAGCTGGGGTGGGGGGTGGGGGGGTGTCTGTGAGCCCTCCTAGTCTCCCTGACTGAGTCCCCATCGCCAGGACAGCAAGCAGCCCCGCTGCCTGTGCTGCCTGCCTGAGACAGCACGCCTTTGAACAGGGACCCCACGGTCTTCTTCCAGAAGTCTGGTGCTGGCCCCGGCTAGGGTGCTCACACTGCCACAGGCTCAAACCTACATCCTCACTGCTGTTTCTCCGGAGAGCAAACAGCGTCCCAGGGCTGCACATAATGAGCCAGCTCTGTGTGGTGTTGAGCCGGCCCCCACAGCACGGCCCTGGTAGCGCAGGCTTGGGGCCTTGACTTGGAGTTTTCAGAGCCTGGAGGCTGGGTGGCCAGGAGCAGACTTCCAGGGCCTCGGAGAGCTGTCTCATGACCAGTGCCACCAGCCCTTGTCACAAAGCCATCTCAGCGGCTTTCTTCTCTGCCTGGGGTTCAGGCCTGAGCACTAGTGCCCAGCCGGGACCCCTTCAGCAGGCAGGCCCAGCCATGCTGGCTTTTCTGTGGGCAGTCCCTGGGGGATCCTCTTCTGGGAGCGCAGGGTCAGCAGGGCCTGGGACGCTCACGCCTCTCGTGCAGTCTTGCACTGTTCCCTCTGCAGAGCCTCCCAGACCCTGCCTGCTTCCAGGGCTTGTGACCAGGGCGCTAGAGTCTAGCACACTTCAGCATGTGCCGTGCCTTCTAGAAGCCTGAAAGCCACTGATGTGTGTCCCTCCTCTAAGCTGACTTACAACCCACCCCCTGCGCCCACCTTCCCGCTTTTGTCTTGAGTCTGGGGGTGGGGGTGGCTGGGAGGCAGTCCTGGCAGGGCCCTGGGAGGACAGCTCCTGACCCACCTCTCTCTCTCCCGTAAGGTTTCCCAGCGGCGGCGGCTTATGGACCTGTAGCAGCAGCGGCTGTGGCAGCGGCGAGAGGATCAGGTAGGAAGGTGTGAGGCCCAGGCGGCTCGCAGGCATGCCCCAGGTGCAGGGGAAGGTAAAGGCCCTGTGGGGTCTGTGTGGCTGCATCTGCCCAGCACTCCTCTCACCACGGCCCCGGCATCCAGGGCAGCTCCCGGCAGGCTCTGTCACGGGCTGCAAACCCAAGGCAGATGACCGTCATTTCAGTTTAAAGAGAAAACGGAACTTCTTTTTGACTCGGGGGCCCCCGGCTTGGGGGATCCCTGGGCCCTTGCTCTCCTGGCTTCTCCTGGCTCATAAAGCTCCCTTCCTTGGGCCTCTGGCCAGCCAGGTTGGCTCGAGGCTGTGAGAGGGAAGCCCAGAGACCACCCCACGGCCTCCTCGGGGCCTCTCTTGCCCCAGGCAGGGGGTGAGTGGATCTGGGTAAGCTGGGCCTCAGTGAGTGGGCTGCTTCACCCCCACCCCCACCCCCGGGAACATATGGTGCCCCAGGACCCTTAGCAGAGACTAGGCAGTGCCTAGGAACTGAAGGTTTTTTTCCTCCCAGACTGTCTAGTCTCCACATCTCAAGGGGGACGGGGGCCTACAGCCCATCTCGGGCCCTGCGGGGTCTGGCTGAGCTACCACCTGTTGATCCCAAGTGCCCCCTGCCTTGGTGGGTAAGCAGGGCTCCCACCGTGGCCCGGCTCCCTCCCACAGCCTGTCCTCTGTGCCTGCTGAAGCCAGCCGAGTGGTGATGGTTTGCAGCTCTCCGCACCCGTGGGCAGGACACCGGAGTGCCCCGAGAAAGCTAGTGTCCTGAGCTGGGGGCAGGAGTTGCTGGTGCAGGTACCAGAGGACAACTGCCAAACACCCATGCCCAGGGTGATGAGAAGCTGGCACCGTGTGAGGCCCATTAGAAAATAGCAGTCAAATCCGTTCCATGCAAACTGGCACTGCTTCGGAGCTACAAAGGACCCCACCCCCAGAATCTGAGAAGGTTTTATTAGGACCGGGTCAGGGCATTCCCAGGGGGCTGCTGAGGGCCAGTTGGCCAGAGGGCTGTGTGGGCAGCCTGGCAGGAGGGCTCAGTCAGCCCCATGGGCACCCTTTTCCTCCTCCTCCCAAGGCCCTGCCCGTCCTCTGGCCAGTGGCCCTGGGGACCCGCAGGCCCTTGGGGCGGGGGTATAGCTGCCCCACTGCCTTGAGCTCCCCAGTTCCGTTCAGTTTAACCCAACGCTTCTGTCCCCGTGAGCCTGGCCCTGTGCCTGGTGGGGTGGGGGGTGGGGGGAGAAACCGAACCGTCTTGAGACTTGTCGAGTGTGTTGGGTGGTGGCTCCCTCGTGCAGTGCCATTCTCTGTATGACTTGGATTATAAAACTAAGCTTTAACCCGAAAACTAACCCTGCCTCTCTCCCCACCCCCGGGGCCTCCCTGACTCCATGGCAAGTTTAAAGGACAGCATAGGGTTCTTTCCGAGTCTGAGAGCAGTGCCCCCACCCCACCCGCCTCTGCCCTCTCCCACCACCGCCACCCACGCCCTGGGACCCCAGAGGCACACGGGAGACCCCGCCCCATTCTAACTCCTAACCGCCAAGGTCAGACCCATCTCCAGCCACACATCTTTGTGTTCCCGCGCTGCGGGTTGCTCTGCCACCATCTCCATCTGGGCGAAGCCTCCCTTGGGCCATTGTAGGGCGCCATGTTCATCGCTCGCTGCACTGTTAGTGAATCATATTCAGGAGTGTCCCAGACCCCGGAGTCGTCCTCTCTGAGGGGCCCACACCCCTCCCCCCAGCGCCCGAGGGTCAGGGGTGCAGGATAACACCCCCCCCCCAGTGCACCCGAGGGTCAGGGGTCCAGTTTTACCCCCCAAAAGAGCTTCCTGAGGGTCAGGATGCAGGCTAACCCACACACACACACCTGCCTCCCCAGACACACCCGCCTCCCCAGGCTGCCTGAGGGTCAGGGGCTCAGGTGGGTCTCTGATGATGACGTAACTGTACCACCCCGGTTGGGACACGGCCCATGTACGCGCCAGCCCTACGCAGGGCTCCCACCTGTGGGTTTTGGCAGGGTGACCTCTGCCTTTCTTTAGCCCGTTTTGTCCTGAAGGGTCTATCCTGTCCTCTCCCTCTAGAAAAGGGTGTGGACTCTGAGCCTGGCAGCCCAGCTGCCCTGGCAGTCCATGACCAGCTCGGGCCACCCCGCCCAACCCACCCCACGTCCCCTCAGGGCAGCTGGAGGCCTGTCAGCTCAGTTGTAGCCCGAGCTGGAAGGCCCGTGAGTCAAGGAGACTTTCCTGGGCATCGCCCTTGGACTTGGGGCATGAGAAACCCAGTCAGTAGGTGGGTCCAGCTAGTAAGATACAGGGTGGCCTCTGACCCCGGGGCTCGCAGGCTGGGTGCAGGTCTGGCAATCTGTGGAAGTCCCTTTGTCACCTTTCATTGTTGTCTGGCTCCAGCAGCTCCAGTCTCCTCCTCTGATGCCTGATGAGGGGGGTTGGAGGGCAGTCTGGGCTTGGCTCATGTTGGCAACATGTTTACGGCAGGGGTGTGGTGTGGGGACAGGGGGGCCCGAGGGCCCTTGAGCTCTGCCACCACCTTGCCCTAGTCCATCCTGGACCTGAGGTGAGCAGGACTCAGGTGACTCCCCGCCCCAGGGGTGCGGGGAGGCCCCGGCCGCCTCCTCGATCATTTCACTCTCAGGGGTCACTTTTCGTTCACCGTCACCCGGTAGCTGAGATGCCATCTTTTCTTGTGCTCAGTCTAGAAGTTTGTTTATTTTGATCGCGCTCATCCGCTCCAGTACCCCATCACGTCTCACACCCCAACTCCCGCCCGCCTTCCCCCACCCCCACGGGAGGGCAGCCGTGTGCGCTCGAAGGCGCTTTGAATCCTCGGGGGACCTCCCAGGTGGGGGTCGGTGTAGCAAGCTTAGCGCTCTGGGGCCCCCTGCCGCCCCAGCCCCCCCAGCCCCCCGCCCCAGCTAGGACCCCTTACTGTACTTTATACTTGCCAGCGTTACCCTGCGGCTCCCTGATGGTGCGGTGAGAGTGAGCAGTTATGTTTCTGTTGTCTTTTCTCTTGCTTGGTTGGGGCTGCGGTGAGAGTGTCTCTGAGGCACACTTCCCTGCCTCTCTTACACTAGGATCTGCACACCTCCTCTCAAACACTCTACTGAGCACGCTCAGCGGGAAGGTTTGTCCACCCCTCTTAACCCTCTCTCAGTGTCCAGCTTCCTGTTGGTACCAGCTAGTTTGCATGTTTTTGCTTGTTCAGATGAAACACTTCAAGAAACAAACTCATACCCAACTCTCGAGAAATGTCTTTTTTCTTTTTTTGTACACTTTCGTTTTCGATTATTTGTTTTTATTACTCCTCTTATTAGTTACAACTCCAAAACACCTGTTGTCCAGTAAAACATTTCACACCTCCCTGCCTGTTCTTAGATTGTATGTCTCTGTGGGACTGACCAAATGCATGCACTGTAGTCGATGTTCCGGTAGCTGTAGCTGTAGTTGTAGAACATGCATTGTTGAGTTGATATTACAGGGGCTCCACGGCTCGGCAGGGCTGTCTGGAGGAGAGCATGGAGGGGGACAGGGGACAGGAAGTGGAGGGACTCCATGGTTCAGTGTTGCCAAGGGGCTTGGATCCATGTTCTCCTCATCCGCCACCACCACCTCCCCTCACACTCCCTGTTCCTCCAGCCCAGACCGGGTCACCTCCCTCAGCTCCAGCCTCCTGAACAGAGATCTCTGTGGCCCAACATGAAAGAGCAAAACAACAGGGTTAGAAGGAGCCTTAGCGTTCTTCCTTGTTCTTGGCGCCCTCGTATTGTTCATGGACCGAGCGGATCTTTCCTTACTTCGTAAGGCCCGGCAGCATGGCCCCTCCAAGACCCTCTCCTTGAGTCCCCAGTGAGTCCGTGTGGCAGCTCTGTCTCCAGTCTACAAGATCCACTCCATGGGGTCAGATGGGTGTGAGAGGCGTGATGGGGAAGGGGGTGAGACCTCAGTGCTTGGGCCGCAGACAGGGGTGCGTTTGGTCCTGGTGAGTGCGGGTGCGTGTCCCTGCGGCTGGGAGGAAGAGCAGCAGCTTCTAGACGGGCTCTCCAGGGTGTGGGGTGAGCAGGCCGAGCACGACGACCGTGCTAGGCTGTAGATCATTGGCACTGCTTTCTGAGGCTGGGGGGATACACATGGGGCGGGAGGGGCACTAGGGTGTTCTTCCATCCCCCCGGCAAGGAAGGAAGGGTCCTGCAGCTTCTGTCCTCCGCTCTGAGGCACAGCCACTCCCTTCACACACTGCTTCCCGTCATCCATGACGATACATACGCTGGGAGGGAGTGCCGGAGCCCGTTTGCAGCGTCTGGATCTTTAAGCGTTGTCAGGTGTTCCTTCACCTGGTTGTAGGTAATCGGGGGGGTGGTGGCTCTGACCCCTGCCTGCATGCATGAGCCACTGGAGGACATGGGCAGCCTTCAGCCGTGGGGGGGTAGTCCATCTGTTACTGGAGATGCAGCCCGGGAAGAGGTCCAGAATCCGTAAAGGCCTCAGGGAGCAGATAGTGCGCCCGGTGCTTTGGAAGACACACAGCACGGCGGAGACATCCAGCCGGCCTGATAGGAGGTGGTCACTCGGGCCCTGGCAGAGAGACTGGGAGATGCCTGGGACACCAGGCTGCTGGGTCTGCACCTTGACCCTGGGTGGGGTCGGTGAGGAAGGCAGGCAGAGAGCTCAGGAAAGCCCCTCCCACTGGCCTACATACTGGCTCTCGCTCTGCTCAGAGAACGAATTCCTAAGAGGGCCTGTTCCCATAGGCGCAATGAGCAAAAATAAAATTCAGGGCAGTGATCCAGAAGAGACCTCGGGCAGCGCCACGCCCTGCCCATGCGGGCTTCAAGGACGCTGCCACGTCAGGGCTGTGCTGTGCTGGGGTAGCAGGTCGTGTCCTGCGGCTGACTGGCTGACTTCGCACGAGGCACCGAGGCGCCGGAGGGCAGACCACCATTCTCCCCTTCAGTGACCTGGGAACCAA